TTTTAATCGACCGGAAAAACATATACGGATTCCCTCCACCCTTTTTGGAATCTCCTTCACTATTTTAGCAAAAATGGAATGAAATGATCGTCTTTTGTTCTTCAGTTGAAAAGAGATGTCTTGAGCAATCGGAGAAGCGCTTTGATAAACAGATTTTATTTTTACTGACTCAATTAAGGTCTTAGTGTTTGTTCTATTAGACAAGAAAGATCGCATTTTTTTGACTTCGTAAAAATAAGAGTTGTACCTGTACGGAATTCCTCTCTTTCTCAGTATGATCTCTATCATCATATCTATTACCTTTATCAATTCTTCTATCCCACCTAGGTTTTTGAATTTCTCTATCAATTCCATTACCTTATCCTTACCCATTAGGTTACAACATTTGACCCTTAATTGATTGAGGAGTTGTTCCCGGGCATCAAGGTTATTATACACCCCAACCCCATCTCTTAGAAAGAAAAAGGTAGCACCGAAGAATGGAAAGAGCGAGATGGTGGTTTTAGTTGTTCCCGCGAAGCGAAGATCATTCGCCAAGCGAATGAAGTGGGTCAACCTATTTTTGGCTTCGGCCAAACACTTTTTCTCGCTGGTCGAGCTTTCTACAAAAAAAGCGATACGAGAACGTATTCTCTTCTGTAAGCTTCTTCCCTGTGCATTCGCTCTCCCCATCGTAGATGGTTCAGCGGCGCCCGGTGCCACGAAATGATTGAGAACTACGACGGGGTCGAAATTCATTTGGTTCTTTGTATTAAAAAAGTATTGCATGACCAAAAAATTCAAGGAGGGGCGCACTGCAGGGAGGGTCCGTAGATAACTCGTCGGGCCGTCGGAGCGGGACTTATTTTGGAAAAAGAACTTGAATAACTTCGTTTTTCTGAAGGAGTCGTCATTTTCTATCAGGAACGCTATGTCATTTACAACCCCGGCGTATTTCGGATGCTTTAAGGCCCCGCTGATCCGAAGTGATTTAGAAAGATTCTTCTTTATCGAGGGTAATCGGTCATGGTATCCATAGCGTTGTTTTTTTTTCGGCCAACCCTGGATTTCGTTTTGCTTCTTTCGGTCGTCGAGCCTGATCGACTCGACTCTTTTCCTTGCCCCCCGGCCTCTCACTTCGTTTCGTTCTTCTTCTGTATCGTCGCTTGAATGAAGACACCCGATCGGCCCGGCTTTCCCGAATGTCGTCCACCACCGGCCCTTCTCCTTTCCGGGTCTAGTTTTTTCACGTCGTTTCAGTCGTCGTGGTCGACGGGGAAGAAAGAAATGAATGAATGTTCTTTTAGGAAAATGTAGAATAATACACCTACCGAGACGAAAGCCGAAGGTGAGTCTCGTAGGTGGACGTATCGAACCGAAATAAGATCTCAGATTGACATCTTGATACACAAATTTACCATAATAATAAATAGAGTCAATAGTGACCCCGCCGTAGAAAGAGCCGCTTATTTTTTGCTTGATAGGGGGGCTTCCATTCACCAACAAAGACTAAAAGTGCTCTCCGAACCGTGCTGGATAGTCACCCATCACACGGCTCTCAAACCCAACCTGTGGTGGATCCCGGGAGACAAAGTAAAAGCGCTTGATCCTTTGCCCCATACTTTGAGATGCTCCTCCCCGCGCAGCGACGCTGCTCGTGAGAGGCTTAGCTTTAAGTTTAAGCTGCTATCGTTCGGTTCGGATAAGTCAAGTCCCTTTGATCGGTTCGCTCAGGTGGTCTTATCTTCCCTAACGTTCAGAGTCGTTTTGGTTTGAGAAAGGAGCACCGGCCGAGCCTGAATGAATAAGAAATGGACAGGAGAGAGAATCAATGATTCTTATTCAACCGAGTTGAAGCTAGCAACATGTTGATTACACACCGGAGGTTAGTAAGAACTGAGGGGCAATGCCCTCCTAACCTAAGTAGGCTACCCGCGCTGCGAAGCAACTGGTACTTGATTGGGGCGGGGGGCGGTTTGGTTTCGTGCAAGGCCCTCGCAACAGGAAGAGGCAGTTGTCATTAACCTTTCGCCTTTATTGATATAAAACAAGCTTACTTACCGGCAACAAGCACCTTTTTTTCTCAAAGTCAAGTTTCTCGCTTGTTTCTTTAGAAAGATTGCAGCCTTAGCGAAACAACTTATCCTTTTCTACGAATCTTCCCTTTATTGAGCAAAATTCTATCTATATTTCTTCCCGGAATATTTTCTATAATTTTCAATTCTATCATTTGTTTGACAGCTTAAACTAGGCTTCATTTTAGATAGGTTTTCGGTCTCTTAATCAAAATCGGTCAGGGGTGCCGTCGGAACGGTCGGTGGCTGCTTAGTCTCATCCGAGAGTCTAATCTCTTTGTACTGCTTTTTTTCAAAGAAAAAAAAAAGAAGAAAGGGGTCGATTTAGGCTCCTTCCCTTCCACTGCATAGCTACGCTAACAGGTACTACGAGCCCTCTGTCCCACACATCTAACCAGCTCGCGTGGTTCACCGGTTCCACCGAAAACTCTCATTTGTTAAAACGGAGCATAGTGCGCTTTAGGCGCCGAGCGAGAAACCTCTCTTCTTTCGTTTCGGTTTATTCACTATCTGAAACTTAGCACTTGTTTTATTTTTCTTATTGGGCGGCGGCGTTCTTTTTTGAAGTCTATCCGAACCGAATTAGCACTTCTCAGATCAGACTAGGCCTCCCCCGCATAGCTGGGCGCCGGGGACCTGGATGCGCTAGCGATCGGCGCATAGGGGGGGGTTAGTTGCCCGGGTTTCTCGGCCTGGTATCCTACACCTCGCGTTAATTATATCTACATTCAACTGTGCCCCGGAGACACGGTCGAAGCACGCCCATCCAGTGTGCTTCTTTCACGACATGCTCTGGTTCCGGGTGTTTTCCAGTGGTCTTCTAGCGTTAGAAGAAGTCGTGTCCGTCCCGGACATCTGCAACGTCCTCCCACGCTTTTTTGAAAATATAGGATAAACTGAAGGAAAAGACTTACCCATTCGGTGACTTTCGCGGTCGCCCTCACTGAACCGACTTGAATCTGAACTACGATTTTTTCCAAGTCTTACCGAAATCGGATTTCCTTTTCGTGCCATATTTTTTGACTTTATGGATTTCTGTCCCTTTTTTCTTCCCGGAAAAATATTTGTTCTCGAAAGTCTGAGTTTCCGTGTACTCTCCAAATTTATGACCAACCTTCCCCTCAGTGATCTTAGAACGCTACTACGCATCTTTACTATATAGTGTGGTAAGGTAGGTTTGGGTATAGCAGGACTTGAACCTGCGACCATTAGGTTAAAAGCCCAATGCTCTACCAACTGAGCTATACACCCAAATAAAGATGTAGTAGTCAATTAAGATTGGTGCGGAAAAGAGAAGAGGTCTCAACAAGCATTAACTAGTTGATGCTGATCGAACCCTCAGTTCGAAGCTCTTCGCCAACATGTTACGAGGCTCCAGTCTTAGGCGGGTCACCATTACTTGACTTAGCTTAGAAAGGCGAACATCTGGGCAAGGGAAAGCGCAGTGCGCCTGGTCCTTTCGAACCAGTCTTTATAAACCTGGTGCAAATGGCTTTCGATAGTTGCATCGTAAACGGGCATCCAATAGATTCTACTCATAAAGAGATAGATCAGTAGTTTAGGAATGTATGCTTGCTTTATTTTTTCTTTCTTTCCTTTCATCGGAAAATCAACAACCTAATTCAACTCACTTCTTTTACCGGGCGGTGGAAGACTAGGGATATATCATTTAATCAGGAAGGGCATCACCAGCTACAGTAGTTGCATTCTCACCAGCCTTCATAGCAAGATTTCATAAAGAGTATTTACTTAGGAGGGCTATAGATAAGATTCTAAGGTAGGGTTCTATATAATCTATTTATTTCCTGTTGAGGATAGTTTAATAATCTCATAGCGCATCGACGTAGATCGCCCAGTTGGTTCTAGGTGGGGTCTCGAGTAAGGGTAGCCGCACTCTCCTTCTTTTATAACAAAAAGCGGAGGACCTTCCCTCTTAGCTCTTAAGGAATTCTGAAACCTATACACGTTGTTAACGAGCTAACCTAACTAATATAGATAGAAAAACCTGAGCGAAGTAGCTAAGGGACTAGGTCGGTTATTTCAGTTCCGAGGAAAGAGAGGACTAGAGCTAATTCTTATAAGCTAATGTGCGATACGCGTTACACGTGTTAAGCATATACGCGTGTAACATGTTCATATGTATGTTCATTCACATGTTCACATCAGTGGTAGCTTGAACAAACAACAATTTATCCCTTCTCACATAGCATGTCTCATTCATATTCAAAGCAGACTGTCTTCATGCTCAATCAGTAGCAAGTTTACTTCATCCCCGGGGACCGGTCCAGTAGAGGAGTGGAAACGACTCTGTTATCTTACATTCCTCATTCGCATTAGAGCATTAGAGTATGAATATAAGCAAGCTTTCCTTATTCCGAAATCTAAAAAAAAAGAGCTCTAGAAGTTCAGTCGGTGTTCTCTCATCTCTTAATTAAGATATTTCTTAATCGAGAATCGTGAGACTCCCCAACCTAGTAAAGGGGCTTGAATCGGTATTTTGTTTAGGGAGAAACCCTACTAAGGAAAGGATGAGATATAGCATTAACTCCACTTGTTGGTATTCGTTGGGACGCATGCTTGGAACGGCCTCTAAGGGGTTGTTGTGTAACAAGTGCATAATTGTCCACTAGAACGTCCGTGTATTTTATCATCAACCTGATGAATGAATTTCAAGATATAGGGCTTTCCTATTATCACAGGCTGTTCAAAAGGATCTCCTGTTCTTCCATCAAAAAATCTGCTTTTTCCTGGATACTCGGGTTCAAATACCCATGGATTCGCTGTTTGCTTACTGGCTTCATATAATTCAGAAAACACTAGTTTTCTCGAAGCCTCTTGTTCATATCTCTCATCAAAAGGGGCTATTCGATAATGTCTATCTAGCAGACTTCCCGCTAACCCAAGCGAGCATTCAAATATCTGTCCTACATTCATTCGTGAGGGTACTCCTAATGGGTATGGGTTGAAGACCATATCCACGGGTCTTCCCGCTTAGGAAGAATTGCGAGCCGGAGTTTTGTTTTAGTCCATACAATGCCTTTCTGAGTCTACTAACTAGATGTGAAGAAACTGATCACCCTGGCGAAGGTGTAAACTAAACCCGACTCTAAATCTAGAATCGTTTTCCATTCATAAAAGCATTCCCCACATCTCACTGGAACTGAGTATCAAGGGCTACAGTAAGAAAGACAAGAGAAAGGTAAGATGCCGTGGTGATCTAAGCCGTCAACGAGCAATTTGTCTCAGTTGAATCCAAAGAAAGAGGGCGAAGAAACTCATTAATTCATTGATGAGGGCTAGGCCCGAGAGAAAATAAATATGAAAGGGAAGGAGATATTCAGGTGGGTCGAATCCATAAGGTCATGATCGAGTTAAGCTTGCACTTACGTTTTACAGCATTGAGAACTTCGAATCATCCTCCACAACCCTAACCTCACAATAAAATCTTTTCAAATTATCTTTTTAGCTGTGATTTGAAAGTCTAAAGTTTGTCTTCAACCTCCCTGGTTTCGATATGGGTTCAAAACTCCCGGTTAAGATCAAAAGTAGGAGCTAATTCGTCTATCACAGGTAGTAGCTCACCCGCCTCTCTTTCTCAAGTGAGACAAAGGCATTCAAGATGGACTGCTAAAAGACATATCTTACCTTTACTTTACATCGCATTTATTCTTTCAGAACCTTACTATCTATTGAGCTTGAACTACTAAATCTCTATTATTACATACCAGGGTTTACTACAGTTTCACTGCCCTGAAGGGAGCTAGCCCTGCTTCTTCTTCAGTGTTTGCTAACTGCTTCTGTGCTTAATCCCGCATGATAAGAGGAGGTTTCTGAAACGGACACGGACTCAAAACTCCCTGAGTCTATACCTGGTGAACTCCCTGGGGCTGAGAAGAAAGCTTATAATTCGATTGGAACATTTACTTCGAGGGCACTCATAACTAAAGTACTGGGGAGCGGTTTGTTGCCCTTGTAGGTAGTCCTTGTTGGAGAGTCATAGCTTATCTCAATTGAGAGTCCTGCGCTGCGTCTTATCTAGACCGCTGCCAGCCGGATTGAAATTCCAGTTGTTGGAAGAGCTACTGCAACTAAAGCAACAGATACTAGAACTATTGAATTCACAGCTACTTCTGCAACTAACTACTGAGACTCTTACTTGAATCATTTATGGAACTCTCGTCGGAGCCTGTTCTTTCTTCTACGAAGCCTCCTGTAAAGGCATCATTTCCATCCGTCTCAGTAAAGGCTTCAGTTGTTGAATTACCTGGAGTTTCCTCAACACCCACTACTAGAGAAAGTGAAGATGGTTCATTTACAGACCCTGTCACTCTTTCTTATCCTGTAGTTTCATATGGAATGGTTTCAGCTTCCTCTACTCCTACTAGGTCTACTTAGCCTTTTATTCCGAGGTGGCTTGCTTTCCTGGGGCTGCTAGTCTTTCCTATCCCTATGGTGTAAGGAATGCTTACTATCCTATTTATTAGGTAACTCCCCTTCTCCTCTCCTTTCTTAGCTCTAGGCTTCAGCTTTCCTTCATCACAGTGAATGTAAGCAACACACCCAAATCTCCTGAGATATGAATAAGTAGGGACTGATTGAAACCATACCTCATCTGGAACATGGAAATTGATTGCTGTGGAAGGGTATTTGTTGATGATGTGCACAGCTGTGTTTGCAGCATCTGCCCTGAAAGTCTTGGGAAGTCCACACTCACAAAGCATACTTCTGACCTTTTCAATGATTGTGCGGTTCATCCTTTCAGCTACCCCGTTTTGTTGAGGGGTGTATGCACATGTCTTACAATCCCATTTCTCCGATTTACAGATCTTCCATTAAGGGATCTAACATTAAGGGATCTAACATTGATTTACCATTCCTCCTATGAAGTGAACAACTAACCAAACCTTTCTTCCTTGGCTTACTTGGCTTCCCTTGCTTTCCTACCATTCCCAACTAACCTACTTTCCTAGTTCTTTGATTCTGATATTCCTATTCCTGGGATTACTAGTTCTCACATTCCTCTTTTCTTTCTGGTTTCCCGGATTTCTCTTCTTCCTACTTTTTTTGCTCTCCTGGCTTTCTGGATGTGAGGGTTAGCTTAAAAAGAACTATCTCTAGCTCTCCCAGCTAAGATGTACGATGTCTGATACCGATTCAAGCTCACTCAGAGATATATGATTTATGTGTTCTATGGGTTTGAAAACAGGGATGGTAGGGTTTCTTCCATTGAAAAGAAAGAAAGCTTATTTAGGACCTCTGAGACCGTTTAGCTCTTATTCCTCTTTGGAAGTTACTTTGTGATGGGATTGGGTCTTCTGTGAGGGATCATTCTATTAAACGAATAAAGTGAACGTTTCCGGACGTTTTCTGGTTGGGAGAGCGTACAAAGCAAGGACTCGGAGGTCGGTGTAGTTAGGATAGTAATATAACCTATTACCTATTGGTAACCTATTGCTGTACGTATCCCCTATAAGATCTTGTCCAGCATCTTTGTCTAGCTAATCTTAGGGACTGTAAGCAAAGGATGTCACTATAGCTAACCTTCCCAAGTAACAGTACCTAATTTGACCAATTTTGATTTTATAAGAAAACAAGGAAAGTCAACTACCCTATTCCCAAACCCTCGGTACAGGAAAACAAGGAAAGTCAACTACCCTATTCCCAATTCCCAAGCCAACCAAACCAGGGAAGCTAGGTCCAACCATTACCCTTTTCGAGCAGACTCAGAAAAAGAAGAAGCCAACCCAGATCCTTATTCGCGGTAGCAGCTACTTCTTCTGCTTCTTCGGTTGTTGCCGCCTAATTAGCTACGATCAATGAAAATCTCTACAGAGAAGAAAGCTGTGCCCATATCTATAAGCAGCGCTTTGTCCTTTCTATATAAGCTGCACTACGCTGAATGAGAAAAATTTCCTGCTCCCATCTATTTGTTGTGGGGCATCCCCGTTCCCAATGACTGTTCCTGGAGTTGGAGGAAATTGCTGAACTTGAGGGACACCTTTCATCCGGTCGGTAATGGGAAAGGTACTTTTCTTTGGTTCGACAACAGGCATCCGTTAGGTCCCATTGTTCAAAAGTATAGTAGTAGAATCTGTTATGATACAGCTATTCCGGTCTATGCCAAAGTCAACACTATTATTGAAGAAAACGGCTGGAAGTGGCCGGCGGTTAGATCTTTCAATAGGCTCCCTCTTCGTTTCACTCGAGCCTCTTTGCCCCTCGAGTCCACTCAAGAACTACTTGACTGACTAGCGACAGGGAGATTTGAAAGACTGATGGAGAGCACACCCGCGAACTATGGAACAAGGTTACCCCCACACTGAAGAAAGAGTACAACAAACAATAAGGATAAGATGAATGCAAGAGATAGAAAGGCCTTTTTCGAGACAAAAGAGGCTTACGTATCTTCTTCCCTTATCAGAACGCTTTGACCCTTTGCCCATAGTTACATAGATTCCAGATTCGCGGGAATCAATAGAAAGAATTTCTTTGTGGACAGAAAGGTAGCTTGCTTACTTAGTGCTTGTACTAAGGAAAGATTACGACTCCGATAGATAACCAAAGAGCAGACAGGAGCAAGCCAGAGACCTATTACATATGAGCTAGCGAATACCTCAGCTACAGGAGTGGAAGAATTTGAGTTAGAAGCTCTAAGGAGAGTCTCCTTTCCGGACTTGAAAGCGAGTAAACGAAGACAGTCGGTAAAGAAGTTTTCGCAGTAACAGGAGTTGCACAGTTCTAGAATTAGAGGAATAAGATTTACTTACCGGACTTGAAAGCGATTAAAGGCAGATAGAATTAAGGCGAAAGAAAGCCCAGAAAGCAGCTATTTCCCGTATTCCCAGCCGAAAGGGCATTCTCTTGAAGAAAGACCGTAGAGTGAAGGCGATATATGATATAGCCAGGCCAGGAAGGCCCATGTTTCCTCCATGAGAAGGTACAAAGACATTGCTGCTCAGTGAGACAATGTTGTCAATAGCAGCCAGAGCAGAGGACTTATTGATATATGGTGAAAGTTCGCCTTCTTGTGCCAACATCTCCCTACTAACTAGATTTAGAAATTCTGGCGCAAGTGGCTGCAAAGACTAGAAAGAAAGCCAATGAAGAAAAGAGTTCAAATGAAATCCTATCCCGTAATGGTTGTCAACGAGAGAAGGCTTCAGGGTAGCTTCTGGAGTTCTTAGAGAAGGCTTACTTCAAGAGGTTCTTAAGAAGGAGTTTCAAACTGACCTTTAGGCACTGACGTGACTCTTCCACTTGTTGATTCAGTCGAGAACAACATCTGCTCTGTGAAAGCTTACCGGAAACTCTCACCAGAAGGTAAAATCTGTGCAGTGTAAGCTTGATCTCTTTGAATTGGGTATTCCCCCAACCTGTCAAACAAAGAAAGCTAGTATAGGCATGAAAACAGCTTGCTTAGAGAGCTTCCCTTCCCCTTACAGGCAAGCTTGAACTTCCCTTCCTAACGAGCCAACAAGTGTGAGATGTAAAGACGGTTCCTTACCAGGAGTCAATCCCACAAGAATCCTAGCTTGATTGGTTTGATGTAAGCGAATGCGAGTACAGGGAAACGAGACAGCTCACAACAAAGCTTAGGCTCACTTCTGACCGAAAGTCCAATTCAATCATTCAAAGCTCACTGAGCACTTCTTTCCTTAGTTTGAGGACGTTAATGAGTTTCAAAGGATAATAGCTGATCTAGAAAACCTGAAAGTCTCTATATCAGACGAGGATCAATACTGATGTCCTTACCAAAACAGAATTCAATTCAATTCAACAGCAAAAGAAGGATAGCTTGATCCTCAATGCCTTTGATCATCTTTTTCTAGGTAGGGAATTGCTTATCTCGGTAAGCTAAGAATGTTAGAAACAAAGAACTAGGACAGAACGGGAAATGGAGAAGGAGGTTAGAATCAAAGAACAGTAAATGGAGAAGGAGGTTAATGTGTATTTCATTCTATCTACATTTGAACTAATTGAGTGTATCCAGTCTTATCCATTAATGTAATTACAAGAAGAATAGTACCAAGCATGTAGGTTATAGTTTTCACTTTACTGGGTGAAGGTTTCTGTAGTTCAAGTGGGTCAAAAGTGGTTTGCGGAAACATATCTCTAATAATTCGATTGAGAGGCTCCTCGCACTCACATGGACTTAAACTTTTGTGTATTATACAAACATGATTCACATACACATCTCGTGTATATTGCAATACATTTGGTAAATTATCTGAAAATAATAATGAAGGTTTGTTCAAAAGAGGTCCAGGAGCTATTTCCATTAACACTGTTATACTGAACAGTATACAAAAGAAGACTGCAGTGCGAGAATTTATGGAGGATGATAATGCATTTGAGATATTCTGCTGAACACTTTCATATCTTTTATGTAAAACATTTTTGATGAGAAAATCACCAGTAGTATCCAAACACTTTAATCCAGATGATGGGAAAATGCTTTGTTTAAACCTACTACGAAGTATGCTTAATAATTCATTATTACCAGTTGATCCATATGGTGATGTGAAATCTAAGTTTAGGTTTTTGATATAACTATGAAGTATATTAGGTAGTATTACTTTCTCTGTTGAGTTTGTACCACTGGTCTGATGTCTCAATTTCTCTCGCGTTAGGATATGAATTGGATTTTCTGTGGAACTGTTGACCAGTGGTCCTCTAAATAAAGGAGATTTCATTTTCATATCTAAATTCACCAATATGTATAGAGCACCACAGGTCAGAAGTAAGAAAGATAATATATATGTCTATTGGTTAAATCAATTCTGGCGAGAGATCAAATTCAGATTACTGTTCAATTATTTGAGTTCAGTCTAATTTTCGACCTAACAAGAGCAACGGAATCACGCTCTGTAGGATTTGAACCTACGACATTGGGTTTTGGAGACCCACGTTCTACCGAACTGAACTAAGAGCGCTTTCTTATCACAATTGATAAGACTGTAAAGACGAGGATTCTTTTTTTTTTTTATAACCCCAATAAATTTTCCACGCCTATATTATCATATATAATATGATAAATTGAAAGATTATCTATGTCCAATTTGAATCGATTACCAAGCCATGTCCCCTCATGCTATATGAGACTGAACTCTCAGTTTGTATATGTGGAAAGAGACCTAAGAGAACTGAAACTGACTTCTAACCTAGGCTCTGACTCTCTTATTTTGACTTCTTTCCTTCTTTTCCCGTAGGATCTCCCAAGAAAAAGCCAATATCCTGAGAGTGATCTATAAATTCCCACGAAGGCCAATCAGCATCACTAAAACAAGAGCAAGTTGAGAGGAAGGTGTCAAGTGCAGACAATTCAGAGAAGATATCTCAACAATCTTTTGAAAGCGTTTAATAGGAAGGAATAGAAACTTGAATCTAAACCTTCTTTTCTATCTAAGGTCTCATCAGAAATTGTGAAAGTTCACTGAGTAAGCTATGTCAGGTCTGGTTATGCTAGCAACCACCAAGAATGCTAGCTACGATAGAGATGAGGATTAGCAAAGTGGAACTTACAACAGCAGAGCAGACAAAGAGGACCCAGAAGTGACTATGGGAGAAGGGAGAGGTTCTTTCCATGCCAGCCTTGACCAATAGATCAGTAATGTTTTGAGAAAGATAGAAGCAGAAGTTCTACTCACTTTTTGACCAAGATTGAGCCAGATACTTTATAGAAAAGATGGCATTTTTGATGCATACTATGTCATCAATATGAAGAGGATTGGACCATGTGATTCTAAGATCATCAACATATACTAGAATGTACAGAGCATGACCACCGCTCAGAAAGAGAGAGAGAGAAAGAGACCGTAATGTCTGAGAGAAAGGAGAGATTGAAAACGGAAGCAAGCGGAGGGATAGGAGAAGAGAGAAGAGAGATTGTAGCGATTTACTGTATCTGAGTGCAACACAAACAATACTAAGACCAAGATCTTCCGACTTCTTTTTCCAATGTATCTTTGTTGAAGATGAATCTCAAACAACAAAACTAAGGGATATGGCATTCATTTTCAAATGAACTAACTAATACTGCTTCCAATCAACATATTTCGATTTCAAACCACGAATCCCCCCAACACAGCAATCCAAACTTGACACAACTGGAACCTCACATTCCAAACCCAAATTAGCATTCGAATAACCAGATTTATATATTTTCCCATCAGCTCAACATCAGAGGAATATTAAGGGAATAGTGAAGGGGATCTTATACCTGAAGCTGTTTCCAAGGAGATCCACGCCATGGACCAGTTTCCTGATATGTAGAGAAGACAATCCCCTGAAACCAAGTAATCCGCGAAGAGTCCTCAGTCTCCATGGCCATCTTCACTCTAGTACCAGGAGTCCAGAATATAGCCATGGAAGCCTCAACATCTTCTGCCTTCACCACAAAGTACGACCATCCAGCCGTAGGATAATAAACCACCTCAAACGGCAAACCCTGAGCTGCTCTATTAATCGCCTCAGAGACAGCTTCAGCCGTCAATTTCCCTTTCCCAGTCCTCCTAAACCCCTTCTTCGCACTTCCGTCGTCTTCCTTAGCAACGCCTCCATTGCTCTGATAATAACTACAGTACTCATCTCCGCCGTAGAAGCTTGTTCCTCCGACGTTACTAGAGATTGGTGCTCGCCTTACACCAATAAACATCTCATCAGCCGATTTCCTCATAAATACAACAGAATCACCAGCGATTAGCTTCTTATTGTTCACGAACTTGCTCCATCCGGTGGTTAACAAGTGCCTCCTCGGTGTGGTTCGACTTGACGAAGAGCCTTTATGCCAACAACAACTGCTTTCGAAGCGGAGCTTTTGAGTGTTTTTTGGGCTGCTGAAAGTTTAAGCACCAACAGGTGAGAGTGGAATTTTAAACTGACTGTAGAGAGGTGGCGGAGGCAATCAACCACAGGTGTGGCCTTTGCATCGGAACCTCCTAAGTCAAATTGATAATTATCTGCCATTGAAGGTTGGTCTGTTACCGTCATTGAAAAAGAAGCGAACAGAGCGGCAACATTGCTCGGAGTGTCGCAAGAGACCGAAGGTACCAGTCCTATATATCTAGTGAGGAACCTCGGTGGTTGGCTGCTGTTCTATTGAATAAAGAGAGGAAACCCTTCGAGGTTGGCCCTAGAGTGAAGTTGTGAAGTTCTCGAACAGACCCTTCCAAAGGTCCGCCCGGTTCAACTTGAGTACTCCATTCGGGGTGATATATAAAGGCTAAAATCGTCAGCAGAATAGCGAGTTTTGAAGCCGGTTGAAGGGGCCTCTGAGACAAGGAAGCCTTGCTTGAAAGAGTCAACGGAGCAATGGATTATTTTCCGTTACTTATTTTATAATAAAGTCTGATGACCACAACAGGGCTTGTTGAATGGCAGGCTTGACTGGCAATGGAAAGGAGATGGCTCATCCATCTCAGATGATCCTCAATCAAAGACTCCTTCTAGTGGTTCGCTTAAAAGATCTGTACTAAAAACATCCCTCCCTACCGGGAAATCACAAAAAAAGAGTACGCGAAAAAAGCACCTTTAGGTGCCAGGAGTGCGGCGTCCAGCCATGCTTCGAATCGAGTACCGGCACCGATGTCCTATTTCGTCTGATTCAACAAGCCTCCTATCCCGGACCAAAAGAAGTGGCTGGATAACCTTTCTTCCCTTCTACTTTTAGTAGTCGATGTTATACCGGTACTAAAGAGAAGTAATTGATAGTGTTCAACATCCCTATCAATGACTTCTAACGGTCAGTCTATAGCGCTTCTAGCCAGTCTGACTTAATAAAAGATCTTCCAGCCAAGCCTGTTTCAGTTGAAATAGAAGTCAGCCTTTCTCTGGTTTTATATATCCCTGTGACTGGTCTTACTAAGAGCAGCTACTGGGTTTGCTTACTACAGACCCTTCATTACCACTTTATCGATAAAGGGATTGACTGCTCTAGCTACAACGGTCTCGCTCCTACTACTTTTACCTCTTATTACATAGGATAAACCGAGAAGACTACCGACAAACAGCAGGAATGAATGTGACCCACGGCTACAAACGAATGAATAGAGGGGTTTGGAACTAGAACCGTATCCCAACTCAAGGCCCTAGAAAGGTAGGGCGATGCAGTAGGAACAGATTACTTGCTGCTTGATACTGAAGGAACTTAGTGTACTCATCCTCACATACAGATAGAGTTTTATGCTCAGTAGTGGTAGAAGGATTAGGAGGGGGAACATAGTCAGAAGTAGCTACATTCGCAAGGTCTACCAAATCTCAACAAGAATTCACTAGGCTTAACGCCCTCTTCACCGAATCACCATAGTGAGAACACTTCATCCTCATCCACTTCTCCACTGCCATAAAAAGAGCCTTAATCTCCTTCTCGGGCAGGCCATAACACCTTCTTTCCCTCAGCTAAACACCATATAAAGAGTCACTCCTCGAGGTAGGTCAGCGACTGGAAGAGTCGTTTGAAGGCGATCAGCAGTCGGTCTGATAAAGAAGTCTGTATGACCATCTCTGTCTGTTCCCCTCATCCCCCTATCATAACTCGGCAAAGCGTTAGTGCCTTTCCAGCTAGTCGTTCCAACAGGAATGCTTAAGATAACGAACCTTGACCAACTTGTTCAAAAACAGAGGTCGGCCTCTTCATCCTTCAAGCTTTGAGTGGACCGGGTAGCGTCAATCAGAGTGTGAATGAAAGGTCAAGGGAACAAGCAACGGATTGAACAACGTTAGCGAAAGCCGTTGCGCTAACGCGCATCCGTTTTCTTGCTCGTCTTCCTTGATCTTTTAATATGGAAGGAAGGCTAGAATCTTCTTTCCGCTTTCAAATCTTCCGATTTCGATGAGAATCAAAAAGATCAAAGCCTGCAGGGTCAGAATAATGGAATTAGACTAGTTAAGTTCAGTTAGCAATTCAATCAGCCTTAGCTAATAAAGCGAATATCCTTCCGCTTCAACCCAATCTTACTCGAAGAACTAGTTATGTTTGCCGGAAGTACGGTCAGTGTGAGGGGTAGTATAAGTGATCAAGGGGTGGTAACTCATATTACTGGAGGAAACTTTGCACAGAGTTCCATTACTATTAATGGGTGGCTCTGCGATTTCTTATGGGCACAAGCATCCCAGGTAATTAAGTCTTATGGTTCTTCGTTATCTGTATATGGTCTTTTTTTCCTAGGTGCTCATTTTGTATGGGCTTTCAGTTTCATGTTTCTATTCAGCGGGCGTGGTTATTGGCAAGAACTTATTGAATCCATTGTTTGGGCTCATAATAAATGAAAAGTTGCTCCTGCTACTCAGCCTAGAGCCTTGAGCATTGTACAAGGACGTGCTGTAGGAGTAATCCATTACCTTCTGGGTGGAATTGCCACAACATGGGCGTTCTTCTTAGCAAGAATTATTGCAGTAGGATAATGGCTAGGAGGATTTGAAAGGCATTATGGCATTAAGATTTCCAAGGCTTAGCTCAGGGACTGCTGTCAGTCGCTTCCCCTCATCAACTAATTAATGAGAGCTTCCGTCGTCAGCTCGTTCTTGACAGATCCGATCGGGTGTTCATAATCTGGAGTAAAAGGATTCGAACCTTTGCATGCCGGTACCAAAAACCGGTGCCTTACCACTTGGCTATACTCCATACGGCCTCTGAGTTTTGGACGGTAAGGGGGGGGAGGGGGAAGGGAGAAGCAGGGCGGGGTTGCGCGCGAGCCGTGCAAGAACGCGGGAATATAGCAAGTAAGCAGCAAGGTTCTTTAGGACCGACTACAACAAGCTCGCGACTCTCATAGAAAGAAAGGGTAAGCTCTCTGCTCTCTATTTGCTCGCAATGCTATACCTATCAAAGTTGGCGAACGCTTCTGTAACCTTAGACTCGTTACGCTCTTCGACTGAACTCGTTGGCTCCGCGTCCACCGAAAGTCGGTAACCTTCGTCACCGTCAGCATTTGGTATTTGGTACTCTCTCGATAGCTTCAATAGTTCACTGAAAGCCTTTGGTGTAATGAACCGCAAGCCCTTCTGAAAGAAAGAATAAGAGAAAGGCTTGGTTGCGGGAACCGACGGTGACGAAGCGGGCCGATGCGGCCGTTTCCCTTTGTAAGGTAGGCCTTTTGATAACTAATTAGAGTTGACATGAAATGGATCACGGGAAAAGACGTATCCGATGAATGAATGATTCAATCCTCCCACTCACACGGGTTCTTCTATTGAAGGGCTTCCCCTTCTTCTATGTGAGGTGGGGAAAGGTCAGAGCGGAACCTAGATAGAACGCGGAGCGCCGGCCCCTTAGCCGATACAGTTACCATGCTTACCAGCTCTTACCATTGCCGCTTATAGATGGGAGGTAGGCGAAGGTAGCTTGCTTCTCTTCTCCTAGGCTACCTCCACTCCACATGGTTATTCGCGAAGAAAAGGCAGCGAGCGGTTCTTCGCTTAGTAGAGCTACCGGCCGGCGTACGACGACCGCTTCTTGTTCTCGCCCAGCCGCTTCTTTTGATTTGATTATTATTTGAAATCCTAGACTAAAGAAGAAGCTCCAGAATCCGCGCAGGGCAAAATCTGCAGCAGGAGAAGAAAGAGGGTCCAGGTCAATTTGATAATGAAGCGAAGGTCCCCCTTACTCCCTATTCCCTCTTAAAGCTTTATAAAGCTGGGCGGTTGGTTAAGAACTACTGACTGTAAACTATAGATAGCAGTTACAGTCACTCAATTGAAATGTTCGCCTTTGGAATGAAGATAGATGAGCAGGGGAGTTTTCACTCCTACGTGGTATTCTCTTCCAACAAGGGTTACGGCTAAAACACCGCTTACTTTTCAAAGACAAACTGCTCCTAAACCAAGCCTGAACACGTTTCCAGTTGTTGATCGACGCGTGTCGTGATCACCAGCATAGTCGGCGTCACAATAGCCAACTATCTTACACTGTTCTCCTTTCTTATACAGAAGACCATAGTCAAGTCTTCCTTTCATGTACCTCAATATTCGTCGAAAGTGAGGTTTCTTTGGATTTTGCATGAATCGATTAACCACTCCAACTGCATATGCGATGTAGGGCCTTGTCAGGGTTAGCGCTTGTGCTAAGCGATAAGAATTCGTTCTGGAATGCCGGCGCGGACTGAAGGATGATGTTTATTAGCTAGACAAATCCTTCATTCGAAAGACGACAATCAAAGCATCACGACTCGTGGAACATTCATTCCTAAAAGGTGTAAACCTGTGAGATAGGACAACCCGTAAAAGGAAGCCGCTAGGCATCAAGCCCTATTATCTTACACCTAGGGAGGGTGGCCGTTGTTGGGTTTTTCTCAATTAGAGTCGCAAGGAGTTTGCTGCTCGTTGGTAGTGGAATGCTGACTAACCGTCTCCGTCCCCCTATGATGAGAAAAAGCTTTCCGAGTGGACGAGGACCGATCTTCTCTTTCTTTAGTCTTGCTCGTCTTATGGCATTAGCCTTTGCGGATTCCTTAATCCGCGGGACAGCTGTCTCGGCACATGTCAATCCTTATGTCCCCAGCGAGCAGGTCAAGGTACTCTATGTTGCTGCTTGCCTTTATCTTCCAGTCTGCCAAGCAAGCTTGTTTATTCTATGTTATTGATAAATCGCTATTTCCCCCAAACCGCTAGTTTTCATACGACTCAGAACTTATAACGTTGTTCTGTCTCCAAACAGAGAGCTTGTAGGCCTTATTCTTTGGATAAAAGTAGCGACGAGCCGACTACTACGACCACATGCGCATCTAGCGCAGTGGCTTGTCACTTCGTACCTTGACCATCTTCCGAAGTTCTAAATAATCTACTGATCAAACGCTGTAGGGGCGGACTGCTCTACATTCAGCCACGCCACAGTGACCCCCCGAAGCGATCTGCCTCATTGCAGGACGAAATCCGGCAGCCAATTGCTGGCTCTGAATAACCAGCCCAGCAAGAAGTTCAATTCTTCCATAACATAACGGGGCGGGGTTGCGCGCGAGCCGAGTGACGTAGATGCACAAGAGTACTTCGCGCCACAACCATCTCTTTTTTATACGTTCTACGGACCGATGCCTGCTGCTTCATCTGGTAGAAAAGAATCATAGATATGCCGGTCATTAGAAGGAAGAACCACCATAAAAAGATTCCTCGTGTATCATCTGTAGCAAAACTATGAACGGGAGCTAGCAATCCGGACCGTATTGAAAAGGTTCCTGAGACACAGCATGGAAAAGTCACAATATTAAGAAACGAGGTCCAAGAATGAAGAAGGGGTAAAATTACAGAATGAATACGAGCTGTGGCTAATACCCGAGGCATAAAAGAAGCATTTTCTACGGGATCCCGAAACCACCAGCCACCCCGACCTAATTCATGATAAGCCCACCAACTTCCTGGCAAGATGCCTACGGTTAAAAACCACCAACATGTCAAGATCCAAATTCGAATTGGTTCCTGGTCCTGATCAGAGACCACTGTGTTCGCGCCGGCGGTCCAACAAAGAAGCGAAGTAGTGGTCTCTTTCTTTCCATTACGAACGACACGCTTCGCCTGCTCCCTCCCCGTGTCCACGTCGTCGAAGAAAGGGTCTTTTGCCCCGATTTACCGTCGTAGGGAGCACTCTTCTGAGCCCCACATGATTCGCCGAAGGATGAGATCTTGCCTATGCAGTAGGATTAAAAGGAAAGTTATCCGAACAGTGAGACCCGGGAAGACTACTACTTCTGTATTTTTGATAAATCAAAGGGCTATTTCCTGATTCATTCCACATTTCACATTCCCCTTGGGATTAGCAAAATCAAATACCTTTTTCTCGTTATAGCTATCCTTTGTTTGTGTAATGACTCGAACTTTCTCATTTATGAAGACTTGAAATCGCATGCATAAGTGTTGGTCCATCAGAGCTTACAGTTGGAGATGCCGCAAAGCAAAGATCTGGACGAAATGAGAGTCCTTCCGCGTTGGAGCTAGGGAACCTAGGGCCAGATTGATCGGTAACTGAATCAGTTAACCAAAAGATGCTGACACGATCATTACTTGCACAAAGATAAAAAAATTGAGTACTCTGCCCTTCCAGTGCTACCTTTCTTCGATGTGATTTGATTCTAGAAGATGAGCTTGCTCGGATCCTTTTCGGTAGCTAAAAGCTTTCCCATAAAAAGAATATGTAACCCCGTATCGATAGACGAAAAAACCCAACAATGTGAAAAGAAAGATCTTCTCCGTCTCTCCTCCCGTAAAATAAGAAAGTATGAAAAACTGGATTAAGAGACGCAAATTCTTCAAAGAAAGCCATAGAAGTTGTATCATCTATTATATTCCAGCGTGACTGCTCACGTCGGGATAATCTTGATTTTAGAATACCTTTAATATACTTTGAAATATAAGCTCCACTCCCTTCTTCACTGCGTATGCTCTCTTCTCTCACTGCGAATGATGCCAAAAAGAGTTCAGCTCGCAAGCGGAGTCTCATTGGCCGTGAATCAGAAGCTACCATGTTCTAACTTGCACTTAGTCAATTGGGAAGATTAACCACAACAAATCGTAAACATCAGATCGGACCTTTAATAACAAGAATTTGATTAGCGTTCTTTCTTTTAGTTTGAACAACAAAGTCCGGGCCAACAATATCCCAAGTTAATCTGTAAAAGTCAGCTGGAAAACCATCCGAGCCAGGGGATTTGTCGAGCGGCATGCTGAAAAGACAATTTGGAATCTCCTCCGTAGTTAACCTGTTGCAGAAGATTCGCTTGCATCTAGTTGGAGCATCTGATGAAGTCGATAAGAGAGCGAAGGGATGAGATAGAGGCTCGAGTGTGGTTCACCGGTGAAAACTGAAACAGGTTGGAGAAGTAACGAATGGCTTCTTCTTGGATATCACTTGTTCGAAATAGATCCACACCTTGATCTGATGTAATTCTGCGGATTGCATTAGCAGATTTTCTGGCTTCGGCAACTCTATGAAAGATCGCCGATGAAAAAAAAGGCAATATCCACTCGTAGATCGGGTTGGTTATATTTATATAAGGGCTATTTTGCATATTTTTAATGTTGATAGGCAGTAGGGTAAGGAAAGGATCATCAATCTATGATAATTTCCGAGTTGCAAAATCCAAATACAACCTGACTTGAATCCTTACTGGACTACTTCATATGCCTTCCGCACACAGGACAGAGGAATTCACTCCACACACGAGCCAACTCCCCTAAAAGGCCTTTCTTTCATGCAATTGGCGACGCCATCGCCTTATATCTTTCTTGTTAAGATCTTAAGCTTCCTGGACGTCTACAAATCTGTTAGGCAGGAAATGTTTACATCGGGGGAAGAGTTCATGCTATCATGTCGCTAAAAAGTGGGCTTTTTGCCTCTACCTTTGAAAGTAGTGTTAAAAAGCCTTACTTCATTGGTTCGATCAGTCTTTTCGTATAAATAGCATTGGGCGTTTAGCACCGGCCTTCTATTCATTCCCACCCTGAAGCAGTTATTCGGACTAAGATCGTCATCGTACCCTCAAGGCAAGCTCCTGAAGTAGAAGTGTGAGGCAAGACGGGCTGATAAACTACGAAAATCGTTTTTTGAGGGTGGAATAAGGCACGCGGAAGACTTAGGAGTCGGAGATCATCAAAAAATAAATCCAATGCTTGTCGTGGGCAATCCTATAGCCCCTTTCCTCGGGATCGGCTTAGGCTGGCTAGCCTTTTCTATCTGCAAATCTGCTAACCGACCGACGGATACCACTAACTGACTAAGCTAGAGAACAGGAGACCAAAGGTCTTCCTGCTTAATCGAGCTTCTTTTAGAACGGGTAAAATAAGGAGCTTTCCCTCCTTCCACTGTCACTTTTCTCATTCTTTTCCCTAAAAAAAATTCATAAGCTAAAGAAGGAAATAACTTACAATGCTACAAAGAAGGGAACTTCAAACTATTCTCAACGAAAAAGCCTTTCAATTAGTCGGTCTAACCTTCCTAACTTGGCACACATATGACATAAAGCCATCAACCAAGTCAGCCAACTACCAGCAGTCGATGAGAGGGTAAGGAGGAAGCGATAGCCTGCTCTCATTGATGATTTCGAACCTTCTTACCCTCTCTTGGATGAAGCAACCATATAACTGACGATATGGATTGAGTAGCGAGATCAGTTACACTAGCCCGGGCATGCCTTAGGCTTCCTCTGCCACCTCCACGGGCGAAGTGAGTCAAATGCACTCTTTCTTGGCTAGTGTAGTAGACTCCATTATGGTCATTCGTAACGGCTCCATATAGTTTTATTTTGGGGCGTAACGTTGTGATTGTTCCACCGACTGACCGATACTAGTTCCAGAGGCATCTTCCATTCATATCGATTTGGGTTTTTCTGCACCATATTTTGATCTGCCTCTTCTTCGACCCGGAATTCCCATCAAATCCTTTACTCCTCGAATACAATGGGATTTTACACCTGGCGAATCTTTCACTCTACCTCCTCTTATTAACACCGTAGAATGTTCCTGCGAATTATGACCTTCGCCCGGAATGTGAGCAAATATATCATGTCGATTGCTCAACCGTACTTTGGCTATCTTACGTGGAGCGGAATTAGGTTTTTTCGGTGTTCTCGTTGAAACACGCGGGCATACTCCTGTTTTCTGGGGACATTTATCCAAAGCTCGAGTACGGTCCGTGCGCCGTTTTTCTTCTCTACCATGACGAATCAATTGATTAAACGTGGGCATTATTCTCTTTCCTTTCTTTTTCCCCCCATTTTGTGCCCTATCACTTTACTCCCGATCCGAAGCACCCCTTTTCCATTCATAGAGAAATCCAATCGTCAAAATAAATAAAAAGGCCATCATGGACCAAAATCCAAACAGATCAATCTTGTTGGGAGGTACTGCCCAAGGAAAGAAAAAGGTTACTTCCAGATCAGGGATTAAAAATAAAATTGAAACAAGATAAAATCGTATATCGAAACGACTTCTGGCATCACCGGAAGGATCGAAACCACATTCGTAGGCCGACAATTTTTCTGGGTAGGTAGAACTATTGGAAGCAAATGGAAAAGGAACACCGAGTAGGATCAAAGAAACTAGCAGACTAATCACTAAATAGATAGAAATTGGTGCAAATTCTGACATCATTACAGCCCACTTTGTTTTCTCGCTCCTTGCTGGCGAAGAAGCGGCATATCGAAAAATAAAGAAAGAAGCAAAAGCCCATCCCGAAAGGCTTGCAGACTTTATACGGTAGAGCCCCCCCCCAGGCCGCCTTCCCATTAACTAATTACATTACACGACCGCTGAACAAACCTAACATCCTGAATTTCATCGACTTCTATAATCTTTTAGAAGGCATCGAATCGAATAATAGCAAATATTGTTCCGGTAGCCCTCTTCTTTGGCTATCTCAAATGAGTCCAAAAAATTTTGGTGGACCCTATGTAGATACTCCATACTCGCCGGTTCCAAGGTATCTGGCAATCCAGCATCCCGGAGAAGGTCTATAGTAACTTTGATCAAAAAGGAAGTGTGTTGGATATAAGGAAAAGCACGGGGGAACTCATTTTTTAAATCTTCCCCGTGCTTTTCCAAATATTTCTCCACTTCTTCCAGGACATAATTCCTTATCAAAGCTTCTTTCTTCTTCCTTTTATCCTTTCTTTTATTATTGGAAGAAGAAGAAGAAGAAGAGGTAGAAGCGAGTGTAGACGAATTGACCATCATGTGTATGACGGCTAAGTGGAAATGCCATAAAGCGCGAACCAAGATCCATAATACGAAAACCAAAATCAGAAGTAGGAAAAAACTCAGAGTTAGCAGCATGAACAAAGATGGATTTGTGAATGAGAAATAGAAGTTTCCGATATTCATAGGAATCAATGGGACAATCTCAAATTGGTCAAGTGGGGAGGGGATTTCCATAACTCTAACATAGTTAGAATAACATCGTTCTTCATATTCCTGAATAAAATTGACAGGGCCAGGAATGCCCAAATTCTGCAGATACCAGTTATTCACGCTAGTAGATAAATTCAGGGATTCCCGAAAAAAAATAAAGTCCAGCTTATTGCTGAGGAGTTCGGTCGGTGTTTGGTCCAACTCTCGCTGTAGATTCCAAATATATCCGGATTGAACCACTCCACCTTGGTAATCCCAGCGCATGTTAACGAGGAAGTGATTCAACCGGGTTAAACTTGCCATAACCATAGGATTCACTAATTCCTCCGAGAGAGAAACCGTGCCTGAACAGTACAGAGGATCTTTCTCTATGGCGTCTAATGCCATATTAGGAAACATATCTAAAATGGGTACTCCTGTTAGAATGTCATTAGCCGTAGAATCCGTGGAACTGACAAAAAGGAGTTTAGGTCTTCGCATGATTAGATTAATTGATTTTAACAAAATGATTCCCTCCAGACAGCTTACGTCAAGCCTCTAGGAGTAGTGAACAACTATAGAAAGTTGTGGTTGGTTGTTGACCAACAAAAACATGGGAGAAAACCAAGAACAGGGGGCATAGAGATTTCTTCTCTTATGAGATTGATAGTTTGATGGGAGGCCCGGCAGGCTAGCGATCAGAAACCTAAAATCAGACAATGATAGAGCGCCCGTACCCTACCTGAAGTAGCATCCCGCCGATCTTTCGAATAAACAAAAGGATCAACTAATACAAGGATTGAGAAATCTTGGCAACTCAACAGAAACGGGATTGAGGAAACTTGACTTTATTGAAATTCGAGCAGCGAACCCGATAAACACCTCAATAGGATCGCTAATACTACCACTTCTAGACTTGGCACAGACAACACTTCTTTTCTATATACTTAATTCAAGATGAAAGCAATGACTGATTGATCCAACACGCCAAGCCATACTTTTCATTCTTATTACTATACTTAATTTATCTAGGTGATCGACGGAACACGGAGAGGTGCGTGCTTTAGTCAGGACGAGGGGGAACTGAGAGGAGAACCGAATGAATGCAAGTGCAAGAGTGGAAGATTGATCGGACTCTCTACGAAAGCTGTCCTTCTTCTCGCACAAACATATCCGACTCGTAGCGAAACAAAGGCCCTCACATACCATACATGACTGGCTGATCAAACACAAGAGCACGACGGAGTCTCGTACGAAAGCACTCCTTCTTGCACAAATCCAGTCCAACCGATCCAACACAGTTACTGGACTCAAGTACGAAAGGAGCATTCATTACTCATACGAAACAAAAGATTGAACCTTCACCCAAAACCGTACGAAGCGGAGTAGCAAAGATGACAGCACGCCAAGCAGCCGTACGAAAGAAAGTTAACAGATCAGGAGCGGAAAGACTCTACTGATGATTCCCAAGCCAGCTGTACAAAACATAGATTACAGATTAATCAGGATGGAACACGAAAGAAAGAATATACTGAAATGATGATTAGCACAAAGGCAGTGCTCGTACCGAAACAAATCTACAGCACTTTGACCAATCATTACTCCTCCACTTTCTACTGATGATTAGCACAAAGGAGCAGTTTGGCATACAAAACTGATTAGCAGCACAAAGGATCAGGAGCAGAAGCAGGATGGAGTCTCAATATTGAAATGATTAGCACATTGATCACGGGATGGAGTCAAGTACGAAACTCCACACTTCGCACACGCTCTATGGAAACAAAAGCCCTCACACAACTGATCAGTAGCACATCACTCAAGTACAAAACTCATACTTTCACATTCTTCTTTTTTTTAGTTATCGCATTATCGCAAAAGCACGAACGACTGATCAGCACAATCGTACACAGAAGCACTAATACACTTATGCCCCGAAGCAGGTCACAGGTACGAAGCAGGACTCTCCCTCCCTTCCCCGACTGATAAAATGGACTTAATTACGAAAGAAAAAGAAATAAGATTCCCTACACAGGTGCAGTAACCATTGGAGCATTATCACTATCTGTACTGAACCATAATCCACTGACCAAGGAAAGAAAGATTACAGCACCAAGCCGTACGAAGCCAAGACGCTCTAC